GTTTCAAACCAATTGGCTCTTCAAATAGAGAAGTGGGATATCGACCACTCCAAACATGTTGTACAAACCCGCCTGATGTACGCATCTCCGCACTGCGCTGCTTATATAGTCCGAGATACGCGGTATGGAAAGCAAGATTTTGTCTATGGCATCCAGGTTAACCCTGCTGCTTGCAAAATTCCGCAGCTTTTGTGAGTATGTGCTAACTGGGTATCCATCTGACTTAGCAATTTTTTCCGTTAAAGTCAGTGAGTGAAAACACTCCTGGGGCCGGATTAATCATTGATTTTACCTAGGATAAATGCGGCCACGCCCCTACCTTGGTGATGTACCGAGATTCATCAATTTTGTTATCACTACCTTAACCACAAAAAGGGAGTAAATATGTATCCATCGGTGAGGCAGGGTTTCGCAGTACCTTACCTTCCCACAAATTGAGCGAAGGTGATGGGAACTGGCGCATGCTGAGAATACCGCATGACGTGATGGTGAATGTTAGCTGTCTTTCACTAGGTACTGAACACAAGAATTATAGGATATTTCTATTAGGTTGGGGAATGAGTTCGTAGCGTTTTTATATTTTCTTATAATTTCAACCATGTTTTGCTGTTTAACAGAAAGTATAGTAATTTTTCGTTAGAGCATTCTCTGCTCTACAAAACAGTGGTAATCTTCCTTTTGAGTAGTTTCATCTTTCATTACTTTGGAGGCTTAGAAATGGGGTATCCAGACGGCAAAAATAAGTATTTTCGACACCTGCTGTTTTTCGCATTTCATCGAGGCCAGAAAGCTGCTGGCCAGACGGCAAAAATGTTTTTCGCATTTCTTCGAGGCCAGAACGCTGCTGGGGCAGCTTGGGAGATTTGCAACGCATACGGAGAAGGTGTTATAGCCGAGTCTACAACAGGTAAATGGTTTGCAAAGTTGAGATTTGCATCGCATACGGAGAAGGTGTTATTGCCGAGTCTACAACAAGTAAATGGTTTGCAAAGTATCAGAATGGCGATTTTGACTTGACACGATCTGCCGATTTTTGGCGAAATTGCATGCCAAATTGGTCGAGA